TAGTTACTTTAAACTAAATTCTGGTGCAGTGGCTAGCGCGTCGCACAGCTACACCACAGGTCCGGGGTTTGATCCCCGGGCTGGTCAAGGTTGACTCAGCCTTTCATCCCTTGAGTGGATTAATAAAGTGAGGTCCAAGTTCGCTTATTTTACTCAGCATACCGATTTTACCAGAAACTTTGGGTTGATCTTTGGATTATGGTAACTTGGTGATTTTTTGGCGAAAATTTGGCGACCAACTCTGCTACAGCAACCCTCTATTTTTTTTTTCGCCGCCATTTTGTCTTCAAGAAATAAAGACATGTTTCTTTTCTTTTTATTTACTGAACACTTTTTTCAACAATCTACTAGCCGAATTACACTTATGCTAGAAATTTTATGTAACAAAACTGCTTAATCATGACAAATATTAACTGCAAAATTGGGAAAAAGTGCACAATCGCAAACTCCTTGCATGTTTTTCAGAATAGCACATACACATAAACCATTTACATGTCGACTTATTTTTACTTAAACAAACATCCACGAATTGCACAAAAATGGCATTGCACACACTCTTAACTTTATCCATCTACACTGCTATTTTCTCATAAATTACCAAAAATTTGCACGAAAATGCAAAAAAAATTCTGTGAATCTTTAAACTTGGTAAAAAGCACATATATGAAATTACCTGATCGCGAAAAAAAGTATATACCCTTTCCAAAGATGAACATTTCCACATATAAAATAAATAAAATATCCAAAAAACTTTTACCACTAAATTATCTATTATATTATAAACGTCACCAACGAATTCATACCGCAAACATTACAAATGGTTACAAATACTTAGTGTCAAATATTTAAATTATTTCCATACACGTTTACTTCAACTGAAACGTATACCAAATTCCTACAAACATAAAATTCACAAAATAACTATAATTTAATTAAAATATCACTAAACCATGTACACGTCGACTTATTCTTATAAAAACATCCCAGAATTGCACAAAAATGGCATTGTGCACACTCTTCACTATATCCATGTACACTGCTTTTTTTCTCATAAATTAGAAAAATTTCACGAAAATGCATGAAAATTTTGTGAATCTTTAAATCCGGTTTAAAAGAACATATATGAAATTACCTGATTGCGAAAAAGTATTATACCCTTTCCAAAGAGGAACATTTCCACGTACAAAATAATAAAAATATCCAAAAACTTTTACCTCTAAATTATCTATTATATTATAAACGTCACCAACGAATTCATACCGCAAACATTACAAATGGTTAGAAATACTTAGTGTCAAATATTTAAATTATTCATGCACGTTTACTTCCACTGAAATGTATATCAAATTCTACAAAATATAATTCACAAAATAACTATCATTTAATTAAATATAATTAAATTCAAAAAACACCTACTTAAATATAAATAAGCACATAATTAAAGTAATAAAAATTAGCTTACAATCTAAATTACTTTAAACTAAATCATTGCTAATAACAATTTTCCAATAATACCATATTACTTTATTTACTCCTTACATTTAGAACAATGCATAAAAATAATATCCTCAATTAAAAATACTAACTTACCTAATCTTCTTCAGAATCTTGATTACGTGGCGGATATAGTTTTCTAATTCATTCAATAAAATTATTGAAAGATTTTTTCTGCGAATTTTTCCTCCATACTTCCTCTGCTAAATAAAAAGCAAAATTCTCTTTATCACAATGCCTAAATACACATTTCGAATGCACTTTAGTTAGGGACATGGGATCCAAAAATTAACCAACACTGTTTCACACAACACAGAATAAAGCTCAAAAGAAAATTTCCAGATTTCCCCCCTTTTCCGATTAAAGAACTGTAATTCGTCCATTAATGTCACATGACATATCTCATGATCTCTCATTTCCCTCACACAAAATAATGCATAATCGGAACTGAGTACTTCTCACATTATTACCAAAGTCCTAGGTAAACCTTTATCGCCTCCAAAATGTCGCCAAACTACCAGTTACCATATTCCAAAAATCAGCCAAACTTTGCTTAGAACATGATATAAACTGCCCACAGATAACAGTTGCAATCTATTTCTCCTTTTTGTTGGCCATATTCATTTGACCATATTATATACTTGCTTGTTTCTCAAAAGACTTCATTAGTATTTTCCTTTTAGAACTTAATTTTTAAATTTAATTCTTAAATGTTAATTCTCTGAATGTTGATTTCTAGGGGTACCACTTTATTGGTATTACTTTTGGTTTTGACTTTTACCCTTGCCTGCATGAATGACGAAACACGAATTGAATGATTGGAGAGTTAGGTTTGGAGGCAACTTCTCCTTGATAAGTCTGTCTCCTGCCTACTCTACGGTCATTCACTTATGCATTTTTAAAAAAATTATTTAGTTTAATGAATTTTAATTTGCTAAATTAGTGAATTTATTTTCATGGATTGATTTTGCACTTGATTTGTTTATGCTTCTGAATTTAAATGATATTGTAGATTAGCTCAATAATTAAATGTTTTATATATTTGCACATTTTTTTAAATTTTTTAAAAATTATTTTAGCTTTTTTAGGATTTAAATTTGCTTTTTTACTTTATACATGTTTGTTAAAAATTAAATTTTAATTTGTTTAAATTTATATTCATTAATACATGCTTTTTTTCATGGTAGCATAGCATAATGGTTGATCTTTGGATTATGGTACTTGGCGATTTTTTTGGCGACCAAACTCTGCTACAGCAATTCTCTACTTTTTTTTTTCCATTTAAAGACTTTTTCTTTTTATTTACTCAATACTTTTTCCAACAATCTACTTGCCGAATTACACTTATGCTAGAAATTTATGTAACAAAACTGCTTAATCATGACAAATATTAACTGCAAAATTGGGAAAAAGTGCACAATCGCAAACTCCATTTACACATCGACTTATTTTTTACTTAAAAAAACATCCCAGAATTGCACAAAAATGGCATTGCACACACTCTTAACTTTATCCATCTACACTGCTATTTTCTCATAAATTACAAAAATTTGCACGAAAATGCAGGAGAATTTTCTTAATCTTTAAACTCGGTAAAAAGCACACATATGAAATTAACTGATCGCGAAAAAGTATATACCCTTTCCAAGGATGAACATTTCCATGTATAAAATAAATAAAATATCCAAACGCTTTTACCTTAAATTATCTATTTAATAAACGTCACCAACAAATTTATACGCAAACATTAAAAATAGTTACAAATATTAGGTCAAATATTTAAAATTATTTCCATAAACGTTTACTTCAACTGAAACGTATACCAAATTTCTACAAACATAAAATTCACAAAATAACTATTATTTAATTGAAATATCACTAAACCATGTACACGTCGATTATTTTTACTATAAAAACATCCCAGAATTGCCAAAAATGGCATTGCGCACTGTTCTTGACGTTATCCATGTACACATGACCTATTTGTCACTTAAATTAGAAACATTTCCCAAAATGCATGAAAATTTTGTGAATCTTAAAAGAACATATATGAACATATATGGTAAAAAGAACATATATGAAATTACCTGATCGCGAAAAAGTATTTTCCAAGAATGAACATTTCAACGTATAAAATAAATAAAATATCCAAAAACTTTTACCTCTAAATTATCTATTATAATATTATAAATAATTTTTCCAAATTTACCCCCTTTTCCGATTAAAGAACTGTAATTCATCCATTAATGTCACATGACATATCTCATGACCCTCACACAAAATAATGCGTAATCGGAACTGAGTGCTTCTCACATTATTACCAAAGTCCTAGGTAGTAACCTTTATCGCCTCCAAAATGTCGCCAAACTACCTGTTACCATATTCCAAAGATCAGCCAGCATAACTTCCACTGAACTAGAAAATAATCCACTGCTTGATATTCTGTAGAAGACAACTCAGAAATTTTAATAATTTTCTCTCCTTCAAAATGCAAGTGAAAAATATATCATTAACAGTTGATTTAGGCCCTTGTTCAAAAAAATAAAACATGCCTGAACTAAAATCAATCGAACAAATATCTAATAAAAGCGCAGATGGTTCAAGTGTATTGTTACATTACGCTTATTATTATTACGCATAGACCGTATTTGTGCAATTCTTTGACTTGTTATTTTGTCTTTGTGTAGTGGCGAATTTTGGTGCAAAAATCACCGCTACACGGAGCCAAAATAACAACTGCACAAACTCGGTATCAATGTACCACCAAATACTGCTAATTTTCGCCAAGGGGCACCCGTAAATATATATTTACCGAACTTTATTTTGTTAGTTATCCAGTAATTTATATCCTTGCTATTTAATTTTTTTAAAAAATTAATGGAAAAATTGTTATATATGTAGATTGTTGCATAACTAATTAATGTTTCATAACATGTCCAAAGACAACTGCACTAAAAAAACCAAGATCAAGTAATATTACAAGAATTGAAACTAAATTTTAAAAAATTTTTAATAAAATGCTGTGAGAAAAGTTTTAAACTATATTTTTACAATATTCAGCATGGCAACTTCTAAAGATTTTAATTCTTCTAATGACTTGTACCAGTCATTCTTGTAAAAATGTTTGTTTACTGTAATAAAAATAAGAGTATTGATAAATAAATTAACTTTGTTCCCTTTTTTTACTTCAACACCAAGCACTGCCTTTAGCATTCTCCGATTGTCATCCTCATACTAACTGCGTAAAACAGTTTATTCTTTATTCTGAATAACTCTATTAGTCAAGTATATAAAAGAAGCTTTTACCCAATAATGAGTTGTCTGAACCTACTGATGTATGGTAGACATCTTTAGTTAATGTTCTGTCCTAACACAGATGGTTTAATCACTGCCAACAAGTATCTTATTGTACTTTAACATTTTTTATTATATTTATTTATTTTGTATGCATATATGTTTGGAACAAATTATCAATTAATTATGCAATAAAAGAAAGTACAAAACAGTTCATGCTTCAAACATTCAACTTTTTTACACCATATAACAGTTAAACAGTTTAAAGTTACAACTTCATGAGAGGTTTGTTTTCAATGAGAAAGCAAAAAATTTTCAACTTTAAGTCCTAAAGATAACATCACAAAATAGTATACTTTATACCTTCATACCATTTACAAAATGTGAAAAGTGCAAAGCAATACAAATGATTACACTCTAAGAAATGCTACAGGGGGTAAAAAAAAAAAAAAAAAGTCTGAATTCAAATGAAAATTGGATGAATAAGCAAATGTTGTTTCAAGTGATTATTTCTTTAAAATGGCTTGAAATTTATCTGGCACAAAGAGGTCTTTCTCTCTTTGGGAAACAAATAAATAGTTTATTATTTATTTTGAATAACTGACAATTTATATAACTTGGCTGGGATCAACAGTCATCTTTATACCACCTGATGTAAAGGCAGCAAATCCTAAATTCTGCCACTGACCATATCTCTAAATTCTAAATAATTTTCTGCCACTGAATTCTACCACCCAGTGCCATTGAATTAGCTTTCACCTTAAATAATGAGGTTTCTTCACTGCAAAGACAAGTCCCTAATGCATTGGTAATTAAAGGTCGTTACTAATATAACATCTCCTCAAAAGACTTTTCTATAGACAACATAAAGAAGATTCTACAACAAAATTATTACGTTCATAACTTGTGAGATTACTCTTTTCCCTGGATAGATATTTAAATCGCAATTAGTAAATCACAATGAATGTAAAAGTAATTGGCATACATGAATCATGAGATTTCTGTTCTCTATGGATATGTTGTACTTAAACCATCCTTTAAAATGTGGACTTTTACATACATAATTTGCAAGATTTCTCTCCTCTCTAGATACATACAAAAATTACACTTTGGAGTAAATAATTTTTTACTTACACTAACAAAAGTTTTAATTCTTTAATTATCCTTTCCTTTAATGACTAGTTGCATAATTGACAGAAATCAGATTTCTGTCATGAGTAAAAAGGCATATGGTAGTTCAACTGGTTTTTGAATCAATGACTTCTTACAAACTTCACATGCATAAGGGTTCTATGCTGTGTCATTATGCATATGTGCATACTTTTATCTAAACATTACACATACTTAACATACATACATTTTTTCTCATATGCGAATACGCATATGCTGCTTCAAACTACAGTTTTAACTAAATCCTCTCCTGTATGAATAAGGATATGTTGATTTAATGCTCCCTTTAATCTAAATGACTTGAAACATATTTCACATGCATAAGGTTTCTCTCCTGTGTGAATACGCATATGCTGCTTCAAACTAGACGTTCGACTAATTGACTTCTTACATATTTTACACACATAAGGTTTCTCTAGCATGTGATTACTCATATGCTGATTTAAATTACTCTTACGTTTAAAAGAATTATTACATACTTCACACATATATAGTTTATCTTCTGTGTGAACAAGCATATGATCATTTAACTTATCCTTTCGAATAAATGACTTCTTACATATTTCACACACATAAAGTTTCTGCTCCATGTGAACAAGCATATGCCTGTTTAATTTACTCTTTTCACCAAATGTCTTATTACATATTTCACACACATATGGTTTCTCTCCAGTGTGAATATGCATATGCATATTTAAACTCCCTTTACGTTTAAATGCCTTCACACAAATTTCACACACATACGGCTTCTCTCCTGTGTGAATAAGAACATGCCGTTTTAAAGAAACTTTTTGTCTAAATGACTTGAAGCATACTTCACACGTATGAGGTTTATCTCCTGTGTGAATAAGAATATGCCGTTTTAAAGCAACCTTTTGTCTAAATGACTTGAAGCATACTTCACACGTATAAGGTTTCTCTCCTGTGTGAATACGCATATGTTCCTTCAAAGCAGAAGTTCGACTAAATGCCTTCTTACATATTTTACACACATAAGCTTTCTCTAATCTGTGCTTACTCATATGCTCCTTTAAATTACTCTTACGTTTATAGGAATTATTACATACTTCACACACATAAGGTTTATCTTCAGTGTGAACAAGCATATGCTCATTTAATTTATCCTTTCGAATAAATGACTTCGTACATATTTCACACACATAAGGTTTTTCTCCCCTGTGCATAAGCTTATGCTTATTTAAAGAACATTTATGACTAAATTGCTTCTTACATAATTCACATGCATAGTGTCTCTCTGTGTGAATAAGCATATGTACGTTTAAACCACACTTTTGAGTAAATATTTTCTTACATACCTCACACACGTGAGGTTTTTCTTCTGAAGAGGTATGCATGTGTTTTCAAAATACTGCTTCCTTCAAATGAATTGATACTCGAGTTGAAGCAAACTGCATGTACTCCTAACCGATTAAGATGTACTATATCGGCTGACTCTAAGCAACGTACCCAAAAATACGTACAAATATCATTACTTACGTTTATCACAGATACACAAAAACGAAACACACAGATGTTCTGTTTTGCACTCGGGAAGTCTTTCTGACCGCAGTCTGGAATATGAAAGATGGTGTTTGAGGAAAATAATTTATGATTTGATACAAAGAAAGTGGATTTAAAAAACGTAAAAAAGTGCTTTAAAAAACCAAAGCTCAAACTATGTACATATAAATAAAAAATATTTACGGGAACCTAAGCCAAATGGAAAAGAAGAAACAAAAGCGTGAAATAACTAACGATGAATGTATCCGCGATTCCAGCGCTCTGATACGCCATCTAGTGGCTAAAAGGTGGAAACATTAAAGCTCGGTATTTATGTTTGACAATGCTACCTAGTTTGTGAAGCGTGTTGTGATCGAAAAGTAATAAAACGTTTTATTTTTTTATTGTTGTGGGCATTATGTATAACTTAAAAGAAGTACAGACGCATGTTTTGTTTGTGTACACCAGTGTAAATCACGAGCTTGCAAGAACCTGAGTTATGCTTCCATCTGCATTCTTGGTTCGAAAAATATCGAACGAGATAGCAAAACGAAGAAGGGTGGAGTTTCGCGTATTTCGAATTGGAAAGAAAGTTGGACATTATATGAACGTGCGTTCTAAGCATTTAAAAAAAAAAAAAAAAAAAAACTGATTACATTTTTTCTCGTAAGAAAAGTTTTCTTTATATATGCAAAATTTCTTTCTCGTGTATCATACATATAAACGTGTATGTGTATTCTTCGAAAGTAAACATGCATATTAGTGTATTGAAGTATAAATCATTATAGCTCATTAATCTCTTAAATATATTAATATACATATACAATACAATTATGCTTTCATGCATATTTTACCTGCAGAAATTTAAATTGTGTTTCAGTTTATGTTAGCAATGATTTAAATGAAAATTTATAGAATGACACATATAAAAGTAAAAGTTAATTATTTTAACGTTAATGATGAACTTTGAATTTCATATTCTAGTAATGTTGAAATTTCTGTGTGTGTGAGTCATTTCCTGTTAAACTATTTAGAACTGTTTACAGTGGTTCAGGATAGTTAGCATAAAAAATTTCCAGTTCAGAAAATAGGTATGATGATCTAGTATGAGTAATAGTATAAAAAGTATTACAGATATCAAATCTTTTCCACTATAGAATAGCATGCACCAAACAATTTCTTATAAAATGATATACATACCATTGTTACTCGCTGAGCACAGTTAAATGTTTTTTCTTATCTTTTATAGCAGTGTTCGTTTTGAAGTAAGTATTAGTAATAAAAAGTTTTTAAAGTAGCTTAAAAAAATTTATCCATGGTGAAAATTAGCTAATGATGAAAGTATTTTTTCTCACTTGAAGTATCAAACGGCCACATGTATCTTTTTCGAGAAAATCTGTTGTTCTGTAATGTAAAACACCCAAGTATTTGTTCAGTGATAAATATTGATAGGGGAGAGACTTTTAAGTAATTTCATTTCTCAGCCATTATTCAAAATATGATTGCATATAACTAAATAACTTTGGAGTAAATTAAACAGCGTACACAGACATGTGTATACAGATATACAGGTTAGCAAATAAAGCAAGGACAGTGGATTTGGATCAGTTCAGTAATTTATTAGATTGTTTATGTATTCCTGTTTTATTTATAACAAGCTTTTATTTAGTAGAATAAGAATGTGTAGAACATTTAGTAGAATAAGAATAATACATGAATACACAGCCTTTTAGTTGCAAGAAATAAGATTTTGCATAGTTATTTAAAGATGCAACCATATTTATTATCTCAAACATATTCTATCTTAATTGTATTTCTGGGGCAAATATGCATTAATTCTCTTACCCTCTTTGTCATTATAAAAATTTGATTTTATCGTGTTGCTTATATGTTCGTAACTAGAATTGGTGTCGATTCTATGCAGTGTTGATACCTGTAACTATAAGCCTCATCGAAAATATATGCATATTGGATGCCTCATCAGTGCTAAGAAGATTTAGCGATTTTTTTTTTTTTTTTTTTTTTTTTTACTGGCACAATCTCAAAATTTTCATTGCCAGTATGTAATTGTTTGCATACAGCACTTTTACTAAGAAAAATTATAGTACATATAAAAAATGCTAAAGGATAATAAAAACCTTTGGTGACACCAGATATACATATTGATTTGATATTATCTGATAACATTGTAAATGAATGAATAAATTTGTCATTAAAATATTTCGGAGGAGTAAAAATTAAGCCATTAAATCATTAAATGAAGAGGCTAGATGAAATATTCAAATTGTCCAGCTTCTACATTTAGTGCGACAGTAAAAAGTCTGAAAATAATATTAATTCTTTGGTAAAAATATCTTTATTTATACAAAATGTTGCAAATCAATCTTAAGTTATTTTTAGAATGATATATAAAAATCTGCATGTGTATCGTGTATGCAGTGTCTTCTGGATGCAGATTCGTGTAAAACTGATGAACACTGGTAGTTCGGTCCAACTTTAGATCCCGGCGAACGGGCTGACTCCATGGGTGTTTTCTTGATTTTACACATGTGTATCGTTTAAGCACTATCTTCTGTATGCATACGTGAATAAAGCGCTAACTCTGGTAGTTTGGTCCATTTTCGAATCACAGCAAGCGGGCTGACTGCATAGGTGTTCTCGTGATTTTCCGCATGTGTAACATGTTGGCAGTATCTTGTGAATGCATAACGTCAATAAAGCGGGTGCAGCGCGGGTAAAATCGCTGAATACTGGTAGTTCGGTCCAACTTTCTAATCCCAGCGTACTGTCCAGAAATTGTGGATGCATATGTGAATACAGCGGGCGCAGCCCAGGAAAAAAAATCGCTGAACACTGGTAGTTTGCTTCAAATTTCAAATCCCGTCGAATGAAAGCGGGCTTCACTGGTAGTTCGGTCCAACTTTCGAATAAAGGCCAATGAAAGCAGGCTTCAGGCCGCTCAAATGGTGGGCTTACCCGCTAGCAATCATGCGAGCTAGCGTATATCTTGTGATTGCATACGTAAATCAAGTGACCTAACGTGAATAAAGCGGGCGCTCCACGAAAGCATCCCTTCCCTCATGTAGCGGGCTTGCCCGCTAGTGATATATAAAACTGTCCCTCTCTAGCTACATCCCTGAAAGTAAGCATTCATTCAAATATTTAACAAATAGATTTGATCATATTTTATGCATCATGCAGACTATATTTCCAGCTCTTTCATTTAAGTGCAATTTATTTCCAATGTATGAACATGAATACTGTACAAGCTTAGTCACTTATTTGTAATTTAATTCAGTTTTTTATATAAAAGTTAAAATTTACCAGGCAATTGCTTAAAAAAATAGTTTAATAGATGTTGCTGTAATTTAACACTTTTGATTTTAATGTTTTCAGAAATTTGCTAAATCAAGTTTATCTTCGTGTGACCTTGCATCAAAGGCACCGATAATAAATTTGTTTTGGCATTTAGTGCTAAAACTTTTAAAGAAAAACTTATTGATGTAAAAGAAGGAACAAATTATATTTATCTTGGTAATATGTCTTATGATATGCTTATTTACGGTGTCATGATATTGCAGTAACTTAACAGGCATTTCATATAACTTGTTTCTTAAGTTGCATAACCTGTTTTCATAACATTTTGTTATCAAATATATATAAAAGGTAAATTTTTAATGAAATAATCTTCATTTCACAGCAGTGTTATTTACCGTGATATAACGTGTGTTCACATTTATTATACGGTTATGATCATTATTCATTATAGAGCTTTATATATTTGTTATATACATTTAATTTATATCATTATGTTTTACATGATTTTGCTTTTAGAATATATCACAATATATATTTCGAGTTGCTAATAGAACTACAGTGGTTCCCAAAGTGTTCGTACACTTATGATTTTCATTGAAATAGGGCTCTATCCATTAATTAAAAGTAAACTTTCTGAATGAGACTTTAATAATAAGATCTATAATCTATTTGTAACAAAATTATATAAAATATTTTTTAAATGTAGTGAAACTTTATTTTTAAGAAATTAATAATCAAAAAATGACAAACATTTTATCTCAAAAAAATGAAGATCTTCATTCTAAGAACTTAATTGGAGGCTATATGCCTTAAGGGAGGGATGCCTTTGTGGAGGACTTTATAAGGGAAACTGGCTCGTATACAAGTTACACATGGGGAAAACCACGAAAACACCCATGCAGCCAGCCTGTTTGCAGGATTCGAACCTCGGACCGAACTACCAGTGTTCAGCGGCGTTACCGCTCGGCCGCTGGTGGTCTTCGCGGGCGGTAATTATGTGAATTAGGATGCTATCATACCGCTCACCCGATGGCAAAAATATAGAAAAGGCAAAGTCAAAGGTTAAATTCATTAATTCTAATCAGAATGCACTAGCAAAGTAAAGCACTGTGGTTTTACATAATTTCTGATTAAGCTATTGAAATCGTACAAACTGAAATAATTCTTGCATTTAAACTTGTATTCCAAATTAAGATTTAACTTGAAATTAATGTAGATAATTACTGAGAGAATTGAATTTTTGTAGTGTACTTTACGTGAAATGAGATCACTTGGGGTCATGTGATGTGAACCGGCGAATCAGGATGTTTTACCATGAAAGCATAGTAAATTCTTAAATTAATGTCTTTTTTTGAAAATTTATTGGCTTTTTTACAAAATTTTAAATGACATTTAAATGTTTTATACCTTTAAAATAAAAAATTCTTAGAACTAACATTTGTCTATATTTTTATGTGTATACTGTGTGTTTGTCGCTAATAAAGTCTGCTTGGCGAGATTTGCGCTGGCGAAACGGAAAAGTACCAAAATTTGCATTCTATGAAATTGTACTTTTTAAATGATAAAATTTTAAAATCTACAATCTGAATATTAGAATATGGTTGGAAAATTACCATAAAATTTCTTGTTTCTACCAAAACGCTTTTAATATTCTGCGATGGAATGGGATAGTTCTTATGAAAATTATATTATGGTACTGGAAATGGC